CCTAGGTGATGAAGCTTCCTCAAACCGAAGGGGTCTGCTAGAGAATGCCTTTAACAATAAAATAAAATAAAATAAAATACCTAGCTCTTATATAACACTTTAGATAGCTTTAATTTTATGATATTGTTTCTTAAACCATAATTAACACATTTTAATGTATTTATCTATATTATGCCTTGACACTGCATTGACTAGCATAACTTGAGCTCTTATATCTCTATTACAAAGTTTAAAGCATATAAAATAGAAGAAAAAGATAAAAGAGGAAGTTACTTCACAATTTAGCAAGAGATTGTGGTTACCTAGGCAGTTGGCTGTTGTAGTTACTCAACCTGAGTTAAACACAGAAAGAGCATCTCCTGTTTTTTTAACGGTTTAGGCTTAAGTTATGCCAAGATATTAACCTGGGTGGGTGGGTGTCTCTAGCATTACTGCTGTTAATAAGCTCTATATGTCCTGCATAATCACGATACGAGAGTGCAGCTTGCTTCTCCTCTGTGCCTTACAAGCTGGTTTGGAATGGCCTTATACCCACCCTGTCCCCTTTCTGGCAACTAGCATCTTCTGGGGCACCAGAAGGGAGCAGGGTCTGTGCTCCCTGGCCAGATCTGAGTGCGTGTATATCCCCTATTGCCAGAGCATCTGAGCAGCTCACAAGGGTCAATGTATTAATCCTCACAACATCCTTATTTCCCTTCAAACGATGGGGAACCTGGGATCTAATCCAATGTCCATTGAAGTTAATAATAAGTTTGAACTCTTCCATTGACTTCAATGGGAGGTGGACCAGGCAGGCTCTGGATATGTGTGCACTGCAATTAAACACTCACAGGTGGCCTGTGCTCACAGGCTGTTTAATTGCAGTGTAGATGTTCAGGCTCACAGACCCAAGGGGGAAGGGTGCCAGACCCCTGGTGCTAGTCCAAGCCTGAATGTCTACACTGCAGTGAAACAGCTCCATAAGCCCGAGTCAGCTGATACAGGCCAGGCACAGGTGTTTAACTGCATGGTAGACATACCCTAAGAGAAAACTTAGCAAAACTCCCATTGACTTTAATGGCACCAAGATTACACCCCTAGTACTTCAATTCTAATTAGATTCTGGTGATTATGATTTATGTTAAGGGTGGGGAAAGAAGCAGGGCTGGCTCTAGGTTTTTTGCCGCCCCAAGCAAAAACAATTTTGACTGCCCCCAACCCCAGCCCTGGGCTCCTACCCCCCCCCCCTCACCAGTGTCCTCCCCCACCCGCAGCCCCTGCTGCCCCAGCCCTGGGCTCCCCCCCACCAGGGCTGACTCCACCCACTCCCCCCTCGCCTCCAGCCAGTCCGGCACTGGCAGGGTCGGGGTAAGCAGCGGGGCTCCCGGGCCACGCCTCAGCCCAGGGTTCCTCCAGCCAGGGCTCCCACCTCCAGGACCGGCCAGGACCCGGGAGGGCAGAGCCAGGGGACTGCCCCGGCAGGGGGCTGAGGAGCCAGGGCAGGGTAGCCCCAGAGGCAGCGGAGCCCCGGAGAGCGGGACGCGGGCCCCGCCCAGCAGCGCCCCGCCCTCTATGGCCCCACTGCTGCTGCTGCTTCTGGCCACCCTGCCGCAGTCCCTGGGCGGCTCAGGCCGCTTCGCCCAGCCCCGGCTGTGGCGCTGTGGGGCGGCCGCCCTGCGGCATTTGCAGGCGGCTCCGTGTGCCCCGCGGGGCGGCCCCCAGGGCGCCCCCTGCGCTGCTGCTGCCAGGGCCAGCTCTATGCTTTTGCTGCCCGAAGCAAAAAAAACAAACAAATAGATGGCTGGAATGCCGCCCCTGAAAATGTGCCACCCCAAGCACGTGCTTGGTTTGCAGGTGCCTAGAGCCGGCCCTGGAAGGAAGCACTTCATTGTAGACCCAGTCCAAAATATATAAAGCTCAATTTACAACCCACATTTAGCAATGATCAGTAGGAATACATGACAATGTCTGGTATCCAATGCCTCGCCCCTTCACTTAACCCTAATCAGGATAAGCTCATTACCATGCCAAATTGTTTTCTGTGTAGCTCGGTCCCAGACATCATGTTTATTGGTCTTTCTTCCTCCTTCTTTCATCCCTGACTAATGAGTTATAAAGTGCTGTGGGGAAAAAATGTTCTGTACACCAAAGGGATGTGGCTGTATACACAAGTATGGATGTTGTAAAGGAATGTTTGTGAGTATATTGTTCTTTACACAGGCCCTTGCTTTCTGGTTTATGCAAATATTGCTTTAAATAAATACACTGCAGATTATCTGAATGTCTGGTTCAGATCTATCATACTGTGGCTTGTGTGTTTTCATATTCAATAGGGGCCTCATTAGATGTGTGAAAGTTTCCCTCCCCACACAGAAAGGATTGTGTGCTAACTGGGTGTAGGTTTGAGCTAATGTTAGATAAATCATGCTCACCACCTGATATCCTGGGAGAATGTGCAGTGCCCAGGGGCGGCTCTAGGCACCAGCAAAGCAAGCATGTGCTTGGGGCA